AGCGTATTACAATGTGAATGATCACTGTTTTACAGGTTTTCGTCCATGGTCTGTGTGTACTGGTAACCAAGTGACAGCCGGTCTATGTTTAAGATTCAAATGTATACCTCGGTCTGTGGCAATGACCCCGGAGTCGCATATATGCGACGCTCAGTAGCGAACGTGTTAAACAATGATCATAATCTAATTAGTAATTTCAATGTCAATTTGTAATTGCATGTAATGTATAATCACCATCACCACCATCACCTCCAACAACAACAACACCGGAAGTGAAGTGTGTTCAGAGCAGAGTAAAAGTGTTAGTGTTGGTGCTACTGCAGATCATAATACAGGGTGATTCAAAATGAATGACCCAGTTTTAACGCTTTATAACTTTTATACTATTAAACTTACCGCTATAAAATACACATCAAACGAAAAAGCAACTCAAAGAGTTTATGCCTTCCAAAGACAGATCATTCAACAAAATCGATGCAGCAGAACTGTAGATTTTATTGTACAAAGTTAAAAAGTAATCTCCAACTTTTTTTATCACTAGAAATTTGGAGGTTACTTGACGTTTTTGCAAATAACTTTTAAATGGTGAGGAAATCGACCAAAGTGGAAGGTATTATTCCGAAAGAGAATAAAATTTCCTACAATCTACTATTATGCATTTTTTTTTTAATGCTCAAGAAAGGTACCAAAAGTTGCCACAAAATAAAAAAAAATGAAATCCCCGTCTTGAATGTAGACAATAAACATAGCAAACATTAATTTTCACACTTTTTTTATTTTAAGCCAAGTTTAGGCTACATTTATTGAGTATTTTCAAGAAATGCATAATAGTAGATTGTTGGAAATTTTATTCTCTTTCGGAATATTACCTTCCACTTCGGTCGAATTCCTCACCATTTAAAAGTAATTTGCAAAAACGTCAAGTAACCTCGAAATTTGTAGTGGTAAAAAAGTTGGAGATTACTTGTTAACTTTGTACAATTAAATCTACAGTTCTGCTGGATCGATTTTGTTAAATGATCTGTCTTTGGAAAGCATAAACTCTTTGAGTTTCTTTTTCGTTTGATGTGTATTTTATAGCGGTAAGTTTAATAGTATAAAAGTTATAAAGCGTTAAAACTGGGTCATTCATTTTGAATCACCCTGTATTACATGTAATACACAAATGATGGAAGTTGCTATAGTTCAGCCGCTTAGAAAACGACCTGCGCGCTACTGCTAAACCAATGCTGGAGGAGGTTGCTTTCTAAGCGGCCGAATTATAGTCCTAATTCTAATAGTTTTTTATAGATAGCCAACCCTTAGTGTGTGCAGAAATGTTAGACAAAATTGATGGTCAAGCATATGTTTTAAGTAATCTCAGTAATTGTAATCTTGATAATTATTGTATAGCATGTGGTGGGTCTCATTATGATATTGGTAAAAAGTGTGTAAAATGGGAATCTTGTAAATATATTAGTAAAAATAATGTAATGCTCATGCACTTAAACATACAGGGGGGGGGGGGGTTTCTCAATAAATATCATGAATTATATACGTTTTTAGAGGGTTCAAATGTAGATATACTTTGTATTAATGAACATTGTTTATTGGAAGATAACATAAATGTACTGTCATGCCTTAAAAACTATAGGATAGGGGCTTATTTTTGTAGGAAAAATGTATCGAGAGGTGGTTCTTGCATACTAGTCAATCAAAACTATAATTTTAAGGAACTAGGTGATCTGTGTCTTTACAATGAGGAAGGGACCTTTGAGGCCTGTGGCATTGAAATTCCCCATATAAATACAATTGTAATTTCCATTTACAGAACTCCTTATGAAGCAAATTTTAAATCTTTTATTAGTAAGTTGGAACGTCTTTTGAATAAATTTAAAAAGTATCTGAAGTCTCACCACATCTATATTGCAGGGGATTATAATGTGGATATTTTGCCTACAACTAACTCATTAAATAACAAAAGCATGTTTTTAAACTTAATAAGTATGTAAGGTTTTAATGTAAATTTTTGCTCTCCCACCCGAATAACCGAAAACTCGAGCACCTGCATAGATAACATTATGACAAATGACCTTTCTTTATTTCATCCAGAAATTTGGAGGTCTAAACTCAATCTTGAATTAGGTTTCTCTGATCACAGGGCTCTTTTTATTGAACTTACAAATAATTATTCTTCATCTGACATAAAACCCTGCTCAAAGAAAAGGTTGTTTACTAAAAATAACATCTCACAATTTTTTTAAGTTATCTCTCAAACAAATTGGGATATTTCAAATAAATAGGATGCACAGACTAATTTTAATAATTTCTTTAATCAGTTTATAATGCATTTCAATCATTGCTTTCCACTAAAATTTTTTTCAAACAAGCAACGTAAAAACAATAATAATAAAACCTGGGTGACGGAAGGTATAAGGGTATCAAGCAGAACTAAAAGGCAACTGAGCAAACTTGCAAAAACCAGTAAAGATAAGAATTTTCTAGCTTACTATAAGAATTACAGGAAAATTTTTAAGACTGTATGTGATAAAGCTAGGAAGATGTATAATTGTGAAGTAATATCAACTGCTGATAATAAAAGTCAAGCTGTGTGGAATGTTGTTAAGTCTGAGCTCGGATCTTCTGGTAATAAATCCTTGGATTTTCCTGACATTCAAGTTGGAAAGAAGCGCCTGAATGATGGTCAGACTATTTCAGATTATTTCAATAACAAATATTTAAATGTTTTGGGAGACAATAGATGCGGGCCATATGTTGATACTGCAGAAGAATTTGTCAATAATTTTAAAAATAATCAGAACAATTACTTTAATTTCCACCCTGTAAGCATTTCAGAAGTAAAGAAAACTATCAAAAACAAAAAAAAAATAAAAAATCTGTTGGAAGGGATGAAATTCCTATGGTTATTATCAAAAGGGTAGCTACTTTCATTGCACGTCCTATTTGCATAATTATAAATAAATTAAATGTTTTTATGAAGGCATATTTCCTAATCAAATGAAGCCTCTTTTCAAAAAGGGATTAGTGGAAAACCCTGATAACTACCGCCACAGACAAGTACCGCTCAATATCAATACTACCCAACATCTCTAAAATCTTTGAAAAAATTGTATACAATCAAATTTATTCTTTTTTTGATGCTAGCAAACTATTTGCTGACCAACAGTTTGGTTTTAGATCTGGAATGAGCACAATATCTGCTATCTCTGATTTCATAAATCAGGTTTCGGAGGGTTTGGATGGGTCGCAGAGTACAGCGGCTGTATTCTGTGACCTTTCCAAGGCCTTTGATTCTGTAGATTATGATATTCTGTTACAAAACTTAGATACTACTCATTGTCTTGGATACAATCTTACTTAAGCCATTGACTATTGTATGGTCAATGCTTAAGCAATAGGTATCAAAGAACAATTATAAAGAAAAATGGTAAAACATTTTCCTCAACATGGGGTAAAAATAAATATGGTGTCCCTCAGGGGTCAATTCTAGGACCTTTATTATTTTTGATATTTGTAAATGATTTGCCCAAAAACGTTTCTTCTAATCTCATTCAATATGCTGATGACACTAGAGCAATAGTTAAGGCTAACAATTCTAATAATTTGAAAGTAGAGCTAGATCGTTAACTTCTACAGCTATCCAACTGGTTTAATGTGAATGGATTGAAACTTAATAGTTCAAAAACACAAATTTTAAAATTTCAGCCCGCTCAAAATAAAAATGTTTATACATTTGATTTGATTTTTAATGGTGATATTTTATCCTTTGTAAAAAGTACAAAATTTCTTGGTTTACATATTGATGAAAACTTGTCATGGAAACCGCACATTGATATATGCTTACAAAAAAATTAAACACTGCTTGTTTCCAAATTTATGTGTTGCGAAATATAATAGATACCAAAACTAAAATTATGGTATATTATGCCATGTTTTTCTCTCATTTGCAATATGGTATTGTAATAGGAGGGTCAAATATTGTAAAGAGGAAGTGTTTGGCAATGTTGTGTGAGTAGGCTGGTAGTGTTGTTAAACAATAACTTGTTGTGCTGACCTACTGAAAGCTGTTGCTTTAAGTAGGCCAGTGCACTTGATCAGGGGGTCAGTTTTGTGTGGAGTGGTTTGTGTGGTGCACCAGAGGACGGGGTCCTGCTGGGGGAGCTGGAGCCCAAGGCCCAGTTCCAGTCTACTCTACCTTTTTGATTGTTAGTTTAGCTTTGTGTTCTTTGTGTTGTTTTGAGTAATTAATAAAGTTGGCCAAGTTGGGTTTTGTAAGCGGCCTTGTAACTGTCGTATTCCTCTTGGAATACGTACTGTTACTTTGGGTGACGTAGCTCAGGAATGAAACTCAGCACTCGCTTACAAAACCCAACTTTATTAATTACTCAAAACAACACAAAGAACATAAAGCTAAACTAACAATCAAAAAGGTAGAGTAGACTGGAACTGTAATAATTTAGTTAGAAACTGAAACCCCAATTTTGAAAACCCTTAACATTTTCTTACCTGGACCCAAGGCCGAGGGCCTTGGGCTCCAGCTCCCCCAGCAGGACCCCGTCCTCTGGTGCACCACACAAACCACTCCACACAAAACTGACCCCCTGATCAAGTGCACTGGCCTACTTAAAGCAACAGCTTTCAGTAGGTCAGCACAACAAGTTATTGTTTAACAACACTACCAGCCTACTCACACAACATTGCCAAACACTTCCTCTTTACAATATTTGACCCTCCTATTACAGTATTGAGCTGTGGGGTTCCACTTCCCACGCAATTAAAATATTTAAAATCCAAAAACGTTTTTAAAAAATTCTATCTTTTAAATCTAAAAGAACATCATGTAAACCACTATTTAAAAAATATGAAGTCTTGACAATGCCTTCACTGTTTATTTTCAAAACTAAAGTAAATTTAAAAAGTAATTTTCACAAATATGTAAGTAAGCACTAAGCAGTTTGTTCATCACTACCCCACACGTTTCAAAGATAACCTGCAGTATCCAAGGCATCGGCTTTGTCTGTACGAAAAGTCACCCTACTATATGAGTTTGAGGCTTTACAATAGTCTACTTTTAAATAAAGAAAGAAAATATTATTGATTAATAGTTGTTAAACTTTATTATTAACTATGTTTACAGAAACATGTTTTAAGATAAAACAATCATACACATGATTTAATTAATTATAAACCATGTGATTGGAAATAGACATTGAGCAAGTTAGTTTCTTTCAATATGCCCTCAAACTAACACGCTCCAACAGGGTTTTCAATCTGGACACTGGTAGGCCTTTCGTCAGGAAATCGGCTAGTTGGTCATTCCCAGACACGTGACGTACATCAAATGTACCTGCAAGAAATTACTCACGTACATACTGGTATCACATGAATGTGTTTTGACCGCTTATGAAACTCTCCAGCATTTCTAGGTAGTCGAGCAGCTCCAGCGTTGTCTAAAAAAAGAAAAGCCTTGATTTCTTGACCATATATCTCACCCAACATAGTTTTCAACCACACAATTTGCTTAGAAGCCTCACTCGCAGCAACAAACTCTGCTTCTGTGGTTGACAATGTAACACAATGTTGCTTCACTGAAGACCAACTTACAATGCCATTAGCAAACATATACAAATATCCTGTGCGTGACTTTCTTGACTTGTCATTTGCAAAGTCAGCATCACTGTAGCAACGGAGAATTGGTTCACTTTTGGAATAAGTCAGTGAATAATCCAATGTCCCCTTCAAATACCAAAATATTCCCTTGACCTCACTCCATGCTTGCACAGTAGGATTGTTCAGCTTTTGTGCTACCATATTCACTGCACAACTTATGTCTGGTCTCGTATTTGTTATGTACATCAGACTGCCCACAGCTTCTCGGAAAGGAACTCCTTTACTCAAAGGCTTGTTTTTCTCTACTGCATCTTCATGCTTCGTGCATAAAGGCGTACCAACTGGATTGCATTCTGACATCCTGTACCTTTCAAGTACACTCTTGATGTAAGACTTCTGATTCAAAGAAATCCTGCCCTCTGCTCTATGAATCTCCATTCCAAGGTAGGTTTAAGGATCGGTAACTTTCAACTTGAAGTCTTGTTCCAATTGTGCAATAAAATCAGACATCTCTTGTTGATTTGAACCAGCAATCAGACCATCATCCACAAATATTACTACATACAATTTTGTACCGTTCTTGTTACGAATAAACAAACATGGATCTGCAGTACTTTGGCTAAAACCCTTCTTAAGCATACTTTGCATTCAACACTTACTCCAACACCTTGGACTTTGTTTCAGACCATACAAACTGTGTTTCAGTTTCCAAACTCTTCCACTTTTGTCATCATAACCTTCAGGTTGCCAAGTATAGATATCCTCATCTAACTTAGAATACAAAAATGCAGTTTTTACAAACTGTTTTAAGTAGCCTAAAGATCTTCTTGAACAGCTACATTCAAAAGACATCGAATGGTATCGCTTCGGGCTACAGGACTGAATGTCTCATTATAATCCTCTCCATACTTTTGAGCATATCCTTTTGCTACCAACCTTGCCTTGAAGCGTTCTCGATTTTGTTTTCGTGTTAGAACCCACTTTAGACCTATAATTCTCTTATTACTGGGACGTGGAACTAACTCAAACACTTCATTTTCATTTATTGATGCCATTTCATCATTCATTGCAGCTTGCCAGTGCCACCAATAAGGACTGTTAACTGCTTCATCGTAGGAGGGACCTGCTTCAGCAAGTAAAACATAGTCTTGAAGGTATGATGGTGTATGTCGCTGACGTTGAGGTCGACTGTCATCATCATTTATGGCTCTTTTCTACATAATTTTCAACTGACATTACATCATTTTCAGCAGACACTACATCATTTTCAGCAGACACTACATCATTTTCAGCACACACTGCATCATTTTCAATCCCCACATTTCCATTGTCACTGATTTTTCGTGGAAATTGAATGCACATTTCAACTTCATTGCCTTGAACTCCCTCATTCCATTGAGATGACTCACCAGCATTTTCATCTTCTTTGTTTCCTTCGATCCGTCGAGGAGACATGAATGAATCATTTTCCATAACTTCCTTGGAAATTTCCTTGAAAATAACGTCTTTGCTTGCCACAATCTTTGGCGCAACATAGACTCTATAGCCATCTTGTTCGTCACAATATCCAACTAATATGCCAGAAACCGATTTAGCAGACCATTTCTTCCTCTTCGGTTTTGGTACATGGACATAGCACTCAGCACCAAAAGGGCGAAAATGTTCAATGGGCGCAGGACCCTTTTGAAACCACAACTCGTAAGGAGTTTTACCATCAACAGACGGTCCAGTGCGGTTGATAACATGACAAGCAGTGTTCATGGCCTCAGCCCAAAAACTCCAGGGTAATTTCTTAGCATAAAACATGCTACGTGCTGCTTCTACTAAGGTTCACATTTCTCTTTCAACGGACCCCATTTGTTCAGGCGTGTAAGGCATGCTCGTTCTCATAGTGATACCACGATCAGAGAGTAGTTTCTTCACTTTGGCATTACAGAATTCCGTTCCACCATCACTCATGAACGATTTAACAACATGACCTGCTGTCTGACATTCATTGAGAAATGTTTGTAGACAATCACAAACTTCACTTTTTTCCTTCAAAAAGAAAACTCGTCGAAATTTAGTGTATTAGTCCTTCAACACTAGACAATAACGACTACCACTAAGAGAAATATTTTCCATTGGTCCACATAAGTCACCACTTATAATCTCACCTGGACTTTCAGGTTTCACTGTTCTTGTGTGATAAGTTTCTCTATGATGTCCTTTTTCACAGATATACCCCGATTTCTAAGAAACTTATACACATGAGCCTTGTTTTGATGAGCAAAACACTTATGCCATTCTTGTAGAGTTTTATTTTTACTACTCACAAGCTGTACAGAAGACTTACTCTGTAAAACTGACATTTCAAGTTCAAATAAGCCATTGACATTGAGTCCAAATAAATTTGGTTTATTGTCCTTTATAAAAACACACTTATTTTTATTAGCTTTGAACGTATAGTCCTTTTCAACGAACCTGGAGACCGAAAGAAGATTTCTGCCTAGTTTTGGAATATACCATACTCCTTGCAATATCCGGACAATTTTACTCTTACCAATATTTACAAGAAATCGAATGTGACCTTCTCCTTCAGCATAGATAGCTTCTCCATTAGCTACTGTAACTGAAACAGGCTTAGAATAACCGTGGTAGGTATCAAAATATTCCCTCTTGAAACACATGTGTTGTGAAGCACCAGAGTCAGCTATAAATGTACCATCACGATGTCCATCAGCTACAAAGCATAAAAATTGACTAGATTTCTTCTTGTTCTCATTAGAAGAAACCCCACCTCTTTTGTAAGTTTCTTGCTTCCTTGAATTCTGATTCTTAGGACACTTGCTAGCGTAATGCGGCCCTTTACAAATAAAACACTTAACCTTGGAACTGCTGGCATAGTTTTTACCTGCCTTTACTTCCTTAACACAATTTGATGATGGTTTCTTATTTATTTGTAATGCATGCCCTCCACTTGTTGAATTTTTAGAAGAACCTTGACTCAATAAGTCTGATCCTTTCAATCAAAAGTTCTATACTTCTATCAGCTACAGGAATGCTTTCCCACACGTTTTTAAATTCAAAGAATTCACTCGGCAATGTACTCATAATTCTGGACATTAGTACAATATCAGGCAATACATTGGCATTATGCTTTTGCAACTCCTCATTTATTTCCCTGAACATTAATTGCAAACGAGATATGTATTGAACTAATTCCTCATCCTCAGTTACTTTAGCAGAAAAAAAAGTTCCAACGTCCTATCCAACCTTTGACTTGAGGACTGTTCATACACACTTAAAAATGTTTGCCAAATTTCTTTTGCTGAGTCACAAGTTGCTGTCAATTCGACATGAGTATCATCTACATCACTTACCATCAGGACCTGGGCTAGAGAATCATCTTTCTCATATGCTCTTACTGCCTCATTGTGTGCCTGTTCTTTTCTTGATTTTTCCTCAGGGGGCTCAGACCAGTCACATCGTCTACAGTGATTCTAGGCAAATTTCTTTGGCCCTTTGCAATGTCTAGGACCCCATGATGCTTCAACATCAATTCCATTTGCCTCTTCCACCTACGCCAGGACTGAGACCCACAAAAAAGAATAAGAAAGAAAGAATAAGAGCTTTGATATTTGTACTTTCACATCCATTTTAAATTAATTTTCATAGTTTACACAAAATAAAACGTACCTGGGCACCATGACCTTTTAAATAAAGAAAGAAAATATTATTGATTAATAGGTGTTAAACTTTATTATTAACTATGTTTACAGAAACATGTTTCAAGATAAAACAATCATACACATGATTTAATTAATTATAAACCATGTGATTGGAAATAGACATTGAGCAAGTTAGTTTCTTTCAATATCTACCAAATAGATTAAAAAATACTAGTGTACCTGTTGCTCGAAATCGAGCATTTGTCAAGTACCGGTACCCTTATTATACAGAAGTTATTTTAAAACTACAGTAATAACAGTCATAATTTTCGATGAGTTTAAAAGACCCGACTAAATGCTTATGTAACTAATTGAAATACTCACGCTATTTAACAGCGCTTTGAAATAATAAATAACGCTTCTTGTAAAAATATTTTAGCATTTTTTGGACCCGGCCTTTATTTTTTAGTGTTTTCTACAAATGTTTCCCGACTTAAAGCTGTTACCAGAAAAAAATTCTTGCATGTATTTATTTTATCTGACTTTAGGTCTAGGTTTACTTTACCACTGTGACAACATGATGTGTGTGTATATTCTTCAAGTATTTTTTATTACTTCCAAAATAAGTTGCTTAGCATAACTGGCAAAAATGATTAATGTCCCCAAGTGATTGTGTACCTGGATTCCTTACTGTGAGACCAGGCCTCTCTTCTACTCTTCTCATAAGTATACGATTTCCTATTAATTGTCTCCTCCTCCTGTTTTCAATATTTCTCCTTTAAATTCAATAAATTTCCTGTTCTTCCAACAAAACCGATTAACCGTTTCGATTTGTTTATAACCTCCTAAATATTACAAACATCAATATTTACTACCAAAAAGCTGGTGAGTTTATTTTTATATACAGCTGTTTTTGTTTTTAAATTGGTTTTCAATGTAATTCTTATGGGGAAAATGCGACCTTTTGAGAGCGTTTCGTGCCCTTAAGGGTAAGAGATTTTAAACTCTAAAACCTTTATGCAGAACTACGAATTGAGACGAATCATTTGACACCTCAAACGTTAAAATCGGTCCAGAAATAACGGAGGAGTTTTGTTCACAAAAAACAGCCCTCACGTATTAATATAAGAGATTAGCTGCATTACTAAATTCAAAAATGACCTTAAACTGTATTTAATGGAAAAAACCTTCTATTCTGTATCTGAATTTCTGGATGACAATAATATTGGTGCACACTTTGAGCAATAACTCAGTTTATGGTTAATTTTACTTTAATACTATTTTAATTTATGGAATGTTTTCTTTGTTTTATATTATGCATATTTGACAATGTCACCTGTTCCTCTAGCTGCGTTAGAAACATGGAATGTATTCTTGTGTATGTGACAATAAAGTAATATTTGTTTATTTATTTATAATTTGGTATTCTCAATTGCTATCCTTGTTTCCAAATCCTATAAACATGTACACGCGCAATAATTCGATTTCGGATGAAGTGCTTTAAGGTCTCAACCTGCCCCTGTTAGATAAGATAAAACATGTACACTGGCTAAGAAAAATAAGTCAACTTATTTTTTTATATAGTTTACAAGACTATAATTGCTAACACACGCTAAAGTAACACTAAAACTGAACTATAACTAGAGGGATTCTCAATATACTGTATGTCTCATTTTATTTATAATTTTACAAAAAGTGAACATAGCAAAAAACATAAGTGAAAAGTTTAATTATAATTCCTTTGTTTATTTATTAATTTATTTTTACGGCAAACACCATTTTTACAATCGTTTACATTGTGATACATGTGACAAGATGCTTATTACATGGTGATAAATGTTGTAAAATCAAACTACAGTCATGCAAGTTTGTTGGCATTTCAGACGCATTTGTAAGCTTTAAAAAATAAACAATAACATTACCTCCCAGTGTGAGCAGCTTCCCTACGGCTGTACCAGTCTGGCCTAGACAAAACCTGCAGCAAAACAAGCATACATCAATACAATGCGGGGAAAACCGGAATTTTACACCCTGTCCATATAACTAGCATTAAGACATCTGAAGATGTACGGGCCGGATTTTTACCCCCAGATTTTTACCCCCCGGAATTTTACCCCCTAGCCCATTTTAGAAATTGAATGATTGATTTTCTTATTTCTGTTTTTAATTAATTGTAAACATTTCATTATTTAGTAGCCTATCTTTATTTATTTATTTTGTAATCTCTACTAAGTGAACAGAATTCGCTGTATTATTTTGATCATATTAACCAACAGTTGGCTTTAAAGATCGAATCCTGATACTCGAATTTCAAAATTAAAATTAAAAACCTGTTCGATCAGTTAATGTTACAAATAAATTAAGATAGGCTACTTAATAATAAAATTTTACTATTAAATTAAAACTGAATGAAGATAATTAATAATCATTCTCACTAATTTATATATCTGGCCAGGGGGTAAAATTCCGGGGGTAAAAATCCAGGGGGTAAAAATCCGGGGGGTAAAATTCCGGGGGTAAATATCCGGGCCGTACATTCTAGGTTTTTATAATTTGATGTGTTCTGATTAAATTCACAACCGTGAAAATATATGTTTAATTCCGCGTTTAATCCATCGAGCTGATGTCGCAAAACTCAATAGTTTGCGGCCGGAATTTTACCCCCTGGTTTGTGACGTCACGTTTGCCCAGGGGGTAAAATTCCAGGGGGATAAAAATCCGCTACCCCGACAAAACTTACAAGTGTTAGTAACTGTGACGAAAGCTGTTTTAGCTTGAGAGGAGTAAGGTTTACTATCTCGAAGAGGTTTAGGCCTATAACTATTAGATTGAGTCTTTTGCACTGAAGAGTATCTTGCGTTAGCTGAGGGACCAAGACCGATACTAGCTCCTTCTAATCGTTAAAATTCTCTTTCAAGAAATTGAATTAAATCATTTACTGCAGGTATGTCATTGTTTGTGATGCGAGAATCCTCAAAAGATTTTCTTAAATCAGTAGGTAACTTTTTCAAAAGCGTTAGGACAAGCAGAGTATTTTCAGCTGTTATGTCATGGTTGAGATTTTTAAAAACTTGAGTGTTCTCTTTATAAACTGTGAGAAAATGTTGGAGACTTTTGAGAGAACCACTACTTATGCATGGCAAATCAATGATTTTTGTAACAAGCTGAGTTACAACATGCCTTTTGTTATAATAGCGATCCTTAAGCAGCCTAAGTGCAACATCAAAGTTTTCTGCAGTTATGCTTAAGCTCTTTACTAAATCTAAGGGTTCACCACTTAAAGAACTAAGCAGATATTGGAACTTACTCACAGGGGCCAAAGTTTCATTCCTATTAAGAAGCCTCAAACATATTGTAGTAGCTAACCCATTCTTTGTAGTTACCGCTGAATTTGGGCAACTCAAATTTGGGCAGTCGCAGAGATGGTTGGGTGGGAGGTGTTACTTCTTTAGTTTTAGCAGGTAACACTATTTTCAAGTCACTAATCAGAGAAATGTAAAAGTCCAAAATTTCATCTTGCATAGAGCATGCTTCAGTTTCATCATAATCAGAACCAGGATCATCATAAACCACTTTATCGAATAAAGCTTTAAAATCAGAGAATAAACCTCTAACTTCATCATCATAGTTGTGTAAGCGCTGAATGGAAACAACATTTAATGATTGAGTTTCTGAGAGAGTAATTTGAGCTGACACAAACTTGCCTATTTTCTGAAGCCTATTTTTGACAAGTTTTGCCTTTTTCTCCAGTGTAGAGAATCTCATTTTAACAGACCATTTATGTAATCAAAAGAGTAAGCTATAGGCCTAAGTTTCTTATAATACTTGGGCCTATGTAAATATTCCCAACACCTAAATATCAAAATAACTCCAAGTCTTAGACCTAACAATAATGCAAATTAATAGCTCAGAATAAATCAATTCATTTACATTAGCTCTACAAGAAATAATGAATGTAAAATTATATTTCACTTAACCATCAGACCCAAGACAGACATAGTAAATAAAGTAAAGTCTATTTAACACAATGTCATTTCATTTCAATCAAGTATTTTCGCAGAATAAATTGAGTAGGGAAGTAAAGGGTGTCCCAGTAAGAACGCCGGATTTGAGGAGCGTCTTATCCTTATCTGTATTTCAATAGGAATTCCCAAATTATCAGCGATGTTATCAGTATTCCCATTTGTCCCATTTGTAGTCATGAATCGCTACACGACAGATCAACGCGTGGTCATAGTTAAAGTGCACTACAAGCACGGAAGCTGCGCACTATTTACGGCCGGGACAATGCACCAAATGATCCATCTGTCCGAAGATTGATTTATAAGTTCGAATAAATTGGCTCAGTTCTATTTTGGGGATATTTAAAGTCGCTTGTTTTTGCCAATAATCCTTTAACAATCCAAGACTTGAAGGAGGAAATGATTCGTGCCATTAATGGAATTCAACAGGAAGTGTGTGAAAAAGTGATGGAAAACTTTGTCAAGAGAGGTCGAGCTTGTCAGTATTCAGCAGGTTGGCACTTACAAGACATAATACTCAATTACTAATCGGAGATACTATGCTTTAAGATTCATGTTTCATATTGTAAATTTAGTGAGAAAATATATGGTTTGTTAAAATTTTAAATCCGGCGTTCTTATTGGGACACCCTTTATTTATTATCAGCAATATCCTTAATGTAGATAAGAATTGATTCAATCACTAATATTTCGTTTAATATTCACACAAAACAACATTTTCAAAGATGTAAATAAACTTGAAGGTTACGTTTATATTTTGATTTAATTCACACAGCTGTAGCTGTGTGTTTTATATTCAGTCAGCTGATTTCCTGTGCTTGAAACTGAGTCTTACATATGATCAATTTGAAGAAGCAATATCATTGGGCGATTTATTCTGTTTTACGTATCTCGACGCTCATTGGTTCTTGCGATGTGCAGACTGCAGGCAGAGCGCTCTAGTGGAGAAGTTCGCTACCAAGGTGCATCGCAAGGACAGATAATATAAAATGGCTGACTTTCTGACAAGTGAAAATATATTAGAAAATTAAGGAAGAAACATAGTGCAGACAAAAAATTATTGTTAATGACAATAATTGATATGGAGAATTGGTTGAGAAACTTAGAGAAAATATTAAATATCCTAACTAATTCCTGATTTCAAATAACTATTTGAAAGGAAATATGACAAGATTCATGTAACAGTGGGAGGACATGAAACTAACATGAAATATTCACGTCTGGGATGGCACAGGGGAATGAAATAAAATATTATTAATTCACCAAAAATAGTAATGGGGAATACAAATGCTGCTCTAATTATTTAGGGAAGTGACACTTTTAAGAGTTTAGTTGTACAATTTAAACAGTTACAGTAGCTAGGCTAATAAAAGCACAATATATTATTAATGATATGATTTTCGTCCGACTCGACAGGACCTGCGGATGAGGGGTAAACTTGCCTAAAAATGTTCAAATGGACTGTATGGTGAAAGAGCAATATTAAAAACTTTTCACTAATTATTTAACAGATAAAAATGAGATTGATGAGGTACCTTCCTTTTAACTGAAGTGTTGAGAAGACGAAGCCGGTAGACGTACACGAGTTTCTTCTGCTGGCCAGCTATCGCGTATTTCTCGTACACAGACCCGGACCGGCAGTAGTTTCACTTCACAAATGTTCAATCGTTCACTTTTAATATAATTAAATATACTTTAGGGTTAAGAGTTGAGAGCAGCAATTGGGAGTTAATTGTGCCGGGGACATGTTGGTAGTTGCATGAGTGCAAGAGAACTGGGGCGAGATTGGGGTTTCCAGACATCACGTGACAGGGCAAGGGTTATTGTATGATATGAAACGTCTGGAAATATCTAGGTAGCGCTTGAATACGGAACATTATAGTTAATAGGTACTTTATGTTACAGTTTTTAAATAATGTTAATTCACAGCAGGGTGCGAACTAAACAGACGGTTTAAATAAACCATTGTTTTTTGTGTTTGTTGTTATTGTGTAAATGAATCGTTATCGTTACAGGGTGTAAATGAATTGTGAAAAATAAAGCACTTTTTTATTTCTTTTCCATCTTTATAGAAAGACAGGATGTATAGCCAAAACAAGTCACTCCAATATCATTCTAAAAATAACACAAGACTGAATAATTGTTACTTTATACTTACCCATGTAAGACTGATGTTTAAGACTGGTCAATTTTGTATTTTTTAAAGTTTAACTCTATGCTAACTGATATCACCATGTTTCCTAAGCGCAAGAGTTATTTTTAATAAGGTAGGCGTAATTAATATAATTTTTTTTATACTGATGTTTTTTAATAACATTTTAAATATTCTTGCCTATTATTATTATATTTGTATTTAAACAGTCATCCGTCATAAATCAGTAGGTATTTAACAACGTTACAAAATCAGGAAAAAATTTCCCATTATTTTCCCGTTATAACGTATGAGAAGGGAAATCCTGTCTTGATCTCGTCTCAAAATTGTATGAGAAGTAAAAAATCCCGTCTCATCTCGTCTCAAACTAAAAATCCAGTCTTGTCCATCTCTAGTTTATACACCAAGTAATTGAGCCGTTCGAAGCGCTATTCCCCAGTTATCAAGGAAACAAAAATTTCACGTGAAATTCATGTTACCATTTTACATTGTTCACATGAAGAAGAAGTTCTTTCCACAAAAACTTAACGCAAAAAAAAACATTCAAATATCACAGTTGTAATTTCTGCAAAATAATGGTAAGAAAATAACGTGAAAATAATTATATATATAGGAAAATCACATGAATTTTGTTCCCATAATTTCACTTTTCAATTGAAATTGAAACAAAAGTAATTGCAAATTTGATGGTCAAAAATGAGAAAAGGAAATTTTACCCTATATAACCATGGTTACCATGGTTCATGGTGGTCTGATCATGCTGGTTCCCAAACTCGTTAGAATGTATAATTAAATGTTTGT